AGAAGAAGCAAGATGTGGTTGCCCATCAACAATCGCCAAAAATCACAAAGAGCAAAAGAGACAGCAAAGAAGAAAAAAAACATTATAGGACTTTTGAGTAAAAACAAAAGGTTATAGGACTAAATAAGCTACATATTTTTCAAAGAAGATTTCTTGATAATTTGCCCTTTTAGTTATTTGTTTTTTCCCGTTATGATCTTCCTTCTTGTGTGATATAGAGGTGGTTGGTGTTAAGCTCACAAATTTGTGTTGTTAAACTATCTCAATAGTTGATTGTCCAATTTGAAGTCATTGTAAATCCAAATATTTTCTTATTAATTGACAAAAAAAAATATTTAATTAACCCTATTTTTTTTAATATAAATTGATTGAGAAAGAACCCTTTTCTTAAACGAAAAGGGTTTTTCTTACTCTCTTCGGTATCATCAACATAGTGGCGTTCGTAATATGGTATCACCGATCAAATGTAATTTTAAATGAGATTAAATAAAAAATCATTTAACCAGTTAAGGGAGAGATAAAGGTCATTACATGTTACACCTCACAAATTTAATTTGTCCAATTAATTGGAAACAACATATAAAATAGTGTCGAAGTTGCAACCAATATTTATTCATCTCTTCGCTATACTGTAATTAAATTTGTCATTTTTTCAATGGAACTAGTTAGATTGGTTAGAACTCATGTATTCCCATCTGGTCTTATTCTCTCTATATTTCTTTTCTCTGGATACATCAGAAAAATTATTCTCTATATATTTATTGGGACTTTTATCTCCTTCTTTAAGAGTTTGTTTGTATTAGTAATTAATCTTCATCATTATGATTCTAATTCATTATATATATATATATATATGTATAGATAAATAAAACCATTTCGTTTAGAGTTTTGGTATAAGTTTTTTTTTTTTTTTTAATTGAGAGACTAATTTAATGCGTGATCAAAGCCACTTTTAGCAATTTAATCAATCTCGCAATTTTTATATACATGTGGTCTTCCTCCAAAAAAAAATAAAAATTATGTACATGATTTGTGAGTTACTTCCCACCCACATAGCACTTCATATATTTTAATTTTTGTTTTAAGATTTTCGTTTCCGTAAACTAAACATTCTATTCAATTTCCTTTTCAAATTCAATTTTTTTTTCAAATATTAAAAATTAATTTAGTAAAAAGATAATTAAAAAAATAAAATTTTAAAAATAAATTTTGAAAACAAAACAAAACAAAAATGAATATGATTAAGCTAAGACGCAAAAGACTATTAGTAGAAGGCATGAATCATGAATGAAAGCGAGCAGAATGGACACATTGATTGAAGCAAAACCATACATAAATTGTCAAGTTGGGAGAGAGCTAGCTTAGTTTAGGTTGTTTTTGTAAAAGCGTGACTATGATGTTTATCTATTCTTTAATCAATCACCACCAACCATTATTTTTATTCTTTTAGATTCAACAAAACAATGCGCCAAGGATGGAGAGATTGTGGGTTTCAAATTAATCTTTGCCACTACATGACCAACCAAAAGTAGATGTCCCATCCCCACTGTGAACTAGGTCAAAATTCCAAAGAAAAACAAGCTAGTAATTCTCTATGCCTAAAATTTTTTGTTTTCGTGTCAGAAATTATCACATGAGTTAGATGTGGTTGTGCTTAATTAATGATGTTTTGTGGTGTTTCTGTTAATGTTTTTCTTTTTTAGACTATGTAAGCACATAGTCTCTTGTTATTAGACAACCAAACAATTTGTTTTGAAAAAACTTAAATTTAATTAGCGAATCTCCAACAATTAATGCATTCTCGATCGTATAATGTGATGAGTACTTTAGAACAAAGGAATCTTGAAACATTACTTTGCAGCTAGAAGTGAATTAAGGGTTTGTTTGCTTGAGGGGATGGGAGAATTATTCACTATTCGGATTGCTTATTCGAAGGAGTAAGTAGTCTATTATTTTTTTTTTTAATCCACTGGACATGGAGTCCTGCCGGACTCCTTATCCCTCACATGGGGATTATACTATCCCGGGGGGGGTGCGGGATAGTTTTGGGGTACTATTTACTGTTGGGATTAGGTGATAAAATGACTATTTTGACCATCTACTATTAATTATGTTTTATATTTAGTAAAATTTAATAAAATTTAAATGTCTCAATTTAAAAATAAAATAATTTTATTTAACTTTTTATTGATGTTTTATTTATTTAATTTTTTAAAATAATTTTCTATAGATATTTTATTGATGTTTTATTTTAAAATTTTGTTTACATTTTATTTAATTTCAATATTTAAATGTTAATAGATGTTTTATTTAATTTCATTGTTTAATTATTATTATTTTTAAAAACAAATTTATTTAAAATTTTAATTAAAAAAATAACAAATATTTTTATTGATATTTTATTTATTTAATTTAAAAAAATAAATTTATTTAATTGTGTAAAAAATAAAATAAATTTTTATTTAATTTAGCTAAAAATAATTAAAATATTAAAGATATGTTTAATATTGCTATTACTTAGTAAATAATTGAAAAATAGTAAAATAGTCTTTTGTTCATTTATCCTACCTAGTCTGTTCAACCAAATGTTAGATTCACTAAAAATTGTCATTTCCAGACATCTAATCCCATGAAAAAACAAACACAAGATACATATTCAATCCAACCAAATGGCTCGGGAGATTCACAGTCACAGGAATCAAGTTCGATGGATTCTAATCCCCCATTATCCAGTCCGTCCAATCAAACATACCCTAAGTACACAGAAATATAAACCAATTGAGTTAGTTCAATTGGTTACTCATTTGCACTTATATTTGCAAGATCATAGGAGAAACAACTATGCTAAGAGCGTACAATTTCTATTGGATAATTATTTATCAAAGATAAAAATTGATTATTTTTCTTCATCATGAATGTGTTGTTTTTAATACATATTGAGTGCTTTATTTTCTTTCAATATGAGTTTATTTATTTATTTATTTTGCAATAGTTATTGGACTTTCAAATACGTATTGTTGGACTATAGTGGTGTAGTTTAATGAAATTAATCTCTTACTGACATAATAATAAATAAATAAAAAAAAACAAGAAAATATGATTTCTAGGTAAAAAAAGATCTCATGTGTGAAAGAGGGAAAGATGGAATTCCTAGCCTCTTAGGTTGTTTGTTACTTGGGAAAAACTCTCGTGGCCAGCCAACAAATAATGATGGTTCATAGAAGGGTCCTCCTAGAAACATTTGAGGCAATTAACACGGTTCAAAATTTTGAAATTCTTTTTTTCCAAATCATTGTTTGAAACCTAAATAAAGGGTAGAATGGCTAAATCAATCATTTTGACATAGTCATAAAAGAAAATTTTAAAATAAAATTAAAAAAATTGATCAAACACTAACTTTGTGAGGAGAGAAAGAGAGCCCCACCAACAACCATGCAATTAGGTCGGAGTGTATTGTGATCTTTTCTTTATTTTCTAAGATAAGGAATGAGAATAGGAATTGTATAGTTGTTAAAAGTGATTTTGAATCTTCAAACCCAAGTAAAATTCTACACACTTCGCCAAATTGCTATTTGAGGTAAGGCCTTGTTTGGATGGGATTGTTGAGATTTATGTGTTAATGGATGCAATTAAAATGCTTGATTTTAGTTAGGGATTTATATGGGAAAATCATAAGGTTTTAAAATTTTTAAGCCATCTCTTTTTTGAACTAATAGTTAACATTTGTTTATTAATATAAGAGAATGAGATCCTTACTTATACTTTGAGACTAATAATATACTATGGAGTGAAATTTTTTACGCATTCAGAAGTAAAATCATATTTATAAAGGGTAAAATTTATTACGAGTTAAAAAAAAGGTAAACTTTACTAACAAAAAAATTCCAAAATACCAAAAAATAAAAGTCTAAAAAAGATTATTTTTATATTGGTACTCATTTTTTTTTTTTTTTGAAATTTTATTATCATCTATCCTCATCAACATAGTAGATTTAAAGAAACAATATCTAATGCTCGTTTAAATCAAAATAATTCAAATTTCCTTCATTAATAACATTTTTCTTGCATATAATTGGGAATTCTGACTCACAAAAGAATTTTTTTTTAGAAAAATGTTTGAGGGTCACAATTTTTGTGGCTCAAATGACTCAAAATTGTCAAAACGACGTCGTTTTGGTAATTTTGAAGTTGTTTTATACTCAAAACGATATCGTTTTAACAATTTCGAACTATTTGAGCCACAAAAATTGTGGCCTTCAATCATTGCTGTTTTTTTAAGTACTAAAAGAAAGATAACAGATTTGATGAGGAGAGAATAATATAGAGAGAAGAGAGGCAAAACTGGGGAGAGACGCATGGCATGGAGGGCCATCTACAAACAACCCCAGCGGTACCGGCAGGGTCCCCTGCACGCCCAGCAACACCATCACCCCCAACCCCCAACTCTCTCTCTCTCACCCACCAACTCACTCTCTCTCTCTCTCTCTCTCTCTCTCTCTACATATATATATATATATACATACACATACTTTTCAAGAAAAAAATTAAAGAATTTAGAATAAATAAATTTTAAAAAAAAAGATTTATTATTTTTAGACGTAGTTGAGACTTTGAGGCAAGAAACGCTAGAGTCCACCAAAGACCCACGCGAAAGATGAGAGATGAACAGAATAAGGGGAGGTGGTGGTGTGGTTTCTTTGTGTCTGTGTCTCTCTCTTGGACTGATTCGATTCAATCGCATCTCCCTCTTTCTCTCTCTACATTTACATTTACATTTACATTTACATTCACATTCACATTCACATTTACATTTACATTCTCTCTCTCTCTTTCTAAGCATAGATATTAGAGATAAATAGAGAGGATAGCATAGAGCAAGCCACCCAAGGCAGGCAAACAAAAAAGAAAAAGTAGGGTCAAAAACAAAAGTGAGAAAAAAAAAGGATGGAGATTACATTACCTAAATGTACATATATATATATATATAATATTTCATTCATTTATTACTTTTGATTCTGTGTAAACACACACCACTCTCTCTCTCTCTCTCTCTCTGTAAAACCAACTTCGTCTCTCTACCGTGTTTTCATTTTTAATTTTTTTTGGGGTTTGGGGGTGGTGTCATTGAAGAGTCCGCTAAGGGTTGGGGCATCTTCTTCTCTTTCATGCCTTTTATGTGTTTGCGTTAATTACACCCCCCCACATACGCGACCCACCACATACATTCATTTCTTTCTCTCTCTCTCTCTCTCTCTCTCTCTCTCTCCATAACCCCCCTCTCTTCTTCTTCTTTTCTTATTCTTCATCATCTCTATCTATACATACCCATCTACATCTCTCTATCTCTCTCTCTGTGTTCCCCATATATCTATCTATCTATCTGTATTTATCATATCAATATCATCTGTATCAATGGCTGTTCAAGCTCAATATCCATCAAATGTTCTCCTCCTAAACAGGTTTGCATTCATCTCTTCGCCCTTCTTCCACATACAAATTCTCTCTCTCTCTCTCTCTCTCTGCACATATATATGTAATTGGGTTTGATTCAATGATTAAGCTACTATCGTGCAGAAGCGTACAGGAGGGAAAGAACCAACTTGGAAATGACTATTCGTTGCAGCCACAACCAGGCGGACGAGGAGGAGGATTTCTTGATCAATCCCACATGATATTCGCCAATGGAGGTGAGCTGATTTTCTTCGTTTCACTTCAATTAGTATTGTAATCTATATTGAAAAACTTCATTTGATTTTCAGTTGTGTAAATTGATGATCACCACATTGTTTTTCTTCACAGCGGGTGGTACTAATCCACGAAAGAGAGGAAGAGAAATCACTGCAACAACAACATCGCCTTTCAATCCCTGCTTCTCTATCCAATCTCAATCCCCTCAGCTCATTGACCTCACTCAGCTTCACACCCATCAAATTCAATCCCCTAATGTTGTCTCCACCGGTCTCCGATTAGCTTTCGAAGATCAACAACAACAACAATTACAACCACAACAACAACAACAACAACAAAGAACTCTCTCTCCTCAATCCTCTGTTCTATCATCGCTCTTATCAGAAGATTTCGCAACCCAAATCAGACAACAGAGAGACGAAATCCAACAATTCCTTCAAGCCCAGGTACTAATTTCGCTTTCCCGCAAATGGGTTCTTCGAATTTTTCGATCTTTTTATGCTATGTTTGGTTGGGAGATTTGGAGAGGGATTTGAAAAGTAAAATGAAAAAGAGAGGTGAATTATATTTCACTTAAATCCTCCAAAACAGCATTAGTGTGTCCTTAAATCGATGATGATTTTTAATTTTGGGTGGTGATCAGGGAGAGCATCTGCGGCGCACATTAGCAGAGAAGAGGCAGACACACTACCGTGCGCTTCTCGGCGCGGCGGAGGAGTCGGTGGCTCGGAGGCTGAGGGAGAAGGAGGCGGAGGTGGAGAAGGCGGCGCGGCGCAACGCCGAGCTATCTGCTAGGGCGGCGCAGCTGAGCGCGGAGGCGCAGGCGTGGCAGGCTCGGGCGAGGGCGCAGGAGGCCACTGCTGCGGCGCTGCAGGAGCAGCTTCAGCAGGCCATAATGAGCGGCGGCGGAGAGGAGAGGGGAGAGGAGATGGGATGCTCCGGCGGAGGAGAGGCGGAGGACGCCGAGTCGGCGTACATTGACCCGGACCGAGTGGTGGAGACGAGTGGACCGAGTTGCAAGGTTTGTCGGCGGCGAGTCGCCTCGGTCGTTGTGTTGCCGTGTCGTCACCTTTGTCTATGTTCAGAATGTGGTGCTCTGGCCCAAGCGTGCCCTCTCTGTCTCTCCTTCAGAGAGTCCACTATTGAGGTCTTCCTTTCTTAAAAGGGGCCCAACACCAATTCAGGCCCAATGTCATGAGGTGGGACTAGCCAAGAGGGTAATGGAGTTGATGAAAAAATAAGTAAAAATCAAAATCAAAACAATATTGGTTTAATAAAAATCTTCTCTTCTTTCTCTCTCTCTCTCTCTCTCTCTCTCTCTCTCTCTCTTGTTTTTCTTTTTGGGTAGTTTCTTGGGGATTATGTACATGGCCACAACGATGGCGGCATTGGTTTTTGTTTTTTTATAAATTTAATTGATACATAAATTCTTTTATTTGATGATTTCTTGCCCCTATATTGTTCTTATTATACTTCTAATTTATTAATTTATTATATTTATTTTTTGCATGAATGGTAATGCCAATGTAATTTGCTAGCTTATCATTAGAAACTCATTTTTTGTGTGAGAATAGAAAGTGTGATAGTGCACCATTGTATATATCACCTTTTATTTTTGGTAAAATTTGCAAAATTACTTTCACACAATATTTCTTAGGAGTGACACGTGGCATTTTTACAAAGCTTTTGACATAATAAACCAAAGCTTGTCGAGTCTGTTTTGTTTTTTTATTTTATTTTTCCCCAAAACATAAAAATAATAATACAAACATGATTGAGAGCTCTAGAGAATTCTAATTGTGATAAGTTTCACTGTGATGTAATGTTTTATGTTTTTTTTTTTTTTTGCTTGGTCACATAAGCAGAGCTCTGAGAGCTCTATTATTAGAGTTCTATACCATTACTCATAATTATAATAGAAACAATTATATCAAAAATCATATTAAAATTAAAAGGATAAGGTGGGGGTATTTGATAACATAATTCAGTATTTAAAATTGAGTTGATTAAGTAATAATCAATTAAGTATATTTTATAATCATAATTGATATCACTTAAAAATTTAAGTGCCTCTTAAGATGTAAACTACAATTTTTTTAAAAAAAATTTATATAAAACTTATTTAATTCTGACAGAATTTATAAATGTTAAACATAAGTATTAATATATATTATTATAAACTCACCACCACTACCACCATGCTACCACTATCACTACCACCACTACGACAACTACCACCACCATAACCGCCACTACTATCATGCCACCACCATGCCGCCGCTGCCACCGCCACTGCCACTACTACAATCACCTTCATTCCCATTGTTATTATTGTCATATATACCACCATTATTTACTATTACCACCATTGCTACCATTGTCACCATCACCATGCCACTACCACAACCGCTACCACCACCACCACTACCACTATGCCATTGCCACCACTACTACTACCACCTTCATAATATAAAAATTAAAATATATAATTTAAAAATAATAAATTTTAAATTTGATTTTATGCATATTAAATAACTTATTTTTAATTAAGTATTTAAATTTTTATTAAATAACTTTTCAACTTAAAAAATTTAGCATTCAGTTTTTAATACTTTATTTTGAGTTTTCAATTTTCAGTTTTATGAAACAGTACGGCAGGCATGGAATTGTTTTTAAGCTTAGTTTTCCTCAATTTGGCACTTCTTTAATAGAAGAAAGGCAAATTTGTAATCCAAGATTTTCCAAGTTTGGAAGATATAGGTGTCATGGTTTATTTTGGTTTTCAATTTAAATTAGCCTAGAGAATTTAATTAACAAACGACAATCATGAGGCACTTATAGAGTGAAAAATCAATCAAATAATTTTATGATACTTGTCTATTTCTTATACAAATTTTCATAAGTAGCGATTTCTGATTTTGAATTGGAAAATTGTATTATTATAGAACTTTTTGTACAAAATTTTCTCATCCGAATAATGTCATAATGACATTTTTGTAATTAAAAAATATTTCAATAGATTCCTTTTCAAAAAATGATGCACCAGCAACTCAGCTACATTATTTTGCACAAAATTTTAGTATATTACTATCTGTATAGAACATTAAACACGTGGAGTTGTTTGGTTGTATATAGTCCTCGTGTACTACTCCATTTCCGAATTATCAACATGAAAATATCATTGTGTACTACATATTTAGCAAATCAAAGAGTTCAATTCTTGCTAATCGAAACCCTAATTCGACTTGAGTTTTCTCCTTCTTATTGGCTTCTTTGTTATTCCTTTGTTCAAGAAAAAAGGTGGCTTGATAATATATTCCTTGAGGGTAGAATAATAACTTCTCATCTACTTTTCTTTGCATTGTTTGGTTTTAAATTTTACGACCCCGCTACGTAGCTCGAATCAGTGGCTCGAATCTGTGGCTCGACACCAAAACGATGTTTTTTTGTTTTTTTTTTTTCTTTTTCCTGGTTTTTGTTGCAGAAGGAAGACGAAGAAGAAGGGTGAAAAAGAAGAGAAGGGAGGAGGAGGAGGAGGAGGAGGAGGAAGGAGGAGGACTGGATGGGGCATATTCACAGGGGAGGAGGAGGAGGCGGAGGCGGGGCCGGAGGCGACGGCGGTGGTGCTGCGACGATCGCTGGTGTTGCGACGACCGGCGGCGGCGAGGCGACGATGGTGGTGATCTCCACTCCTCCTCTCTCTTTCTCCCTCTCTCCTCCTCTTTCTGTTCTCCTCTCTTCTTCCTCTCTTCCCTCTTCCTCTTTTCTCCTTTCTCTGTCTTCGAATTCGAGCCTTTTTTCGAGCCACAGATTCGAGCTACCAATCTTTTTCCTAAATTTTAATTGTTTTATTTCCATTTTATTTGAACTCAAGACTTATCCGTAGGAGACCAACGTAATTATATAAAAAAAAATATAAATGTGTTTGGTTTGAGTTTTTGAATTAAGTTTTTTGAAAACTGAGCTTTTTGATTTTCGTGTTTTTTTGTTTTTAGTGAATATTTTTAAAATTTTATACATTTTTTTTTACTTTTTTAGATGTACCTTACTTAGATATATCTAAAAAGTAAAAAAATTGTGAAAAAATATTTTTAAAAATTAATAAATACATAAAAATATAAAAAATGTACTGAATTCTCGTATTTTTTTATATTTTTGGTATTTAGTGAATTTTTAAAAGGTTTTTTTCATTTTTTTTTTTTACTTTTTAAGTATAGGTACGTTAGGTATGTTTAAAAATTAAAAAAATTACTCAAAATATTAAAAAAATTCAGTAAAAACAAAAAAATACGAAAAATAAAAAAGTAGAATTTTTTGAATAGTGTTTTTAAAAATGATAACCAAGCATAGTTTACAAATTTTTTTCAAACTTGAAGGGAGATGAGTGTAATTTAACTTTTTTTTTTTTTGGTCCTTTCTTTAGAATAATATATCACATGAGGATGAAGATATTGGATCACCCATATATATTACAAGCATGTATAGATTAGACATTAATTTTAACATAAAACAATCTTGCAGATAAGTTGGAATCTACTTGTGAGATCACATGGTCATGGCAACCACATCGTCCAATGAAGACTAAGCCAAATACATGGAGCTTTGCTTGGGAGAGTGGAAAATGCAAGTCATTCCTATTAAAGGAAGTCACTTTCTGCACAAGCATATCTCTGTACCTCAGTGCAAAATCTACCACCCATTTCTTTCTTTTTGTGTTGTGAATAGTTAATTTCAAGAAAAGATAGGAAGCCCATTAGAGTTGCTTTGTCAAATTTGTGATTTTGCACCTAACTCTATAGGGCTTGTATGGAAATGTGATGAAACATGTTGCCCATTTGTGCTTTGGAACCAGCTAGCTTAGGCAACAAAATTGAAGTGAAACCAAATTAAACTTCGTGTCTTCGTCAAGTGGAGTTGGTTACATACAGATTTTTTCATCATTCTGCTCTGTTAAGAGAAAATTAAAGTAAAAGAAGTATTAAAACTATCATATCATGAGCAAGAATCCTTGCATTTTAGCTAGGTTTATTCCCCCCCCCCCCAAAAAAAAAGTAGGGTCATAATTGTTAGGGTGTCCATTTAATTTCTCAATCATCCAAACAGCCCATTGTTTTTATTGTACATAATCATCAATGGTTCCTTCTCTAGTTGGGTGATCCGGATTCCTTATCTTTAAAATCTATGTCCTCGTCACGACTGCACTCTCATCTTGTAATTTATGTATTTTGAAACTCTTTACCATTTTGTGCAGTTAAAAGTGTATTGGAGACAAAGATCCTTAGCCAATTAAGATCCAAAACATATATGGTTGTTGATTGGGCCGGGGGAAGAGTCAATAAGATTCTTCCTCTAAGTGAATGGATGGCCTTAATTACGAGTGTGCGCGGTGCGGTTTGAGCGATTTAAGAGTAAAATTATAAATTAAATGTCTGATTAGTGGATTGACGGATTGACAAATTGCAATTTGAGAAGTTTTAGGCAGATTGACGAATTAAAGAATATTCTAACCAATTATTAAGTATTTGCATAATATATAATACTAATTTGTAAAATATTTTTCATATATATAACACAAACTAATTTTACATAATATTTTTCATATATGTAATTACTAATTTGTAATAAATTTTACACATTAAATCTTTCTCACACTCATTTTTATTTTAATATTTCATTATAGGTTAAATATATATGTATTCAATGTGGTTTTAACAGATTGGACGGCATTTTACCCATAAATCCTAACCTTGACAACACGGGTTCCTTTGTCTCTAAAATCTCTATTCTCCACCAATTTATTCTTAGTCTCACAATTTTTTTATTTTGAAATTCTCACCATATTTTGTTGTTAAAAATATAAAGACAAGATCTCTTATCATTCAAGACCTTAAACATCAAAAGTAAGGGGAAACAATTTGCTTGGAAAGCTTGTAAGATTCTTCTAAGTAAATGGATGGCTCAAACTAGTCCAATAAAATACATAGCCAAGTAGTAGAAGAAAGAAAGAAAACAAATTTAAGGACAAGCTCACAGTTTGACCAAGTTAAGAAAATGGACAAAACATAAATCATGAATATTGGTACTTTAATTCATATAACCACCACATTTACTAGTCATACATGTACAAAGTATACTACAGCTCACGTGATCTCTGAACCAAATTTTTTTTTTTTTTTTCTGTATTGAAAAATCTGAAAAAATTAGAGTTAGGTTAGAAAATTTCTGTCACCACTGCAGACCTGATCACAATAATGCAAATCCAAGGACTAATTTTAATAAAATGGTAAGGCAAGGTGGGGACAGTTCACCCCTTTAACATGCGCAGGTGTGTTTGAAAAAGTTGTGGAGCAAGAAAAGAAACGATTTAAGAGCATCTATTTCGTTCGGACATCTGAACTAGTTGTTCAAGTCCGAGCATTGAATGCTCTTAATGTTTGCATATTTTATAAATTAATG